TGCTATCAGTCTCAAATGCATCCTAGGGCATTTACTCTGGTTTGTCAAGTCAGTAAAAAACGCATACAGTAACCATGTGTAAATACCCCCTAACAGTTGTGCACTTCTGCTTCTGGTCTGATCAAGCTACTTTATATGGCCAACGTGTAATTGCAGGCGCACGTCTGTTTGATGCATTCTATAATGTCCCATCTAATTTGTATGTTGCCAGTAAAATATAACCTGTAACTGGCCGAGAATGAACGGGATGCATGTGAGCAACACTGAGAGAGAGAATCTGACTCCAGTAATTCCTTGCAGCACAAGCAGGATGAAATAAAACACCCCGGGCTACACGTATGGTGTTTCCAGACAGGCAAAGGCGGAAAATATAGAGTTAAATATCATATCTAATAATCATGTTTTTAAAGGAAATCATATTAAGGTTGTTAAGAGGTACGGCACCAAATGTCAGAACCGTGTTAGTTTCACGCGCTCTCTGACAGATGCGAAGCGACGAGCCGAAGGCGCTCGCGCTGACTCCCAACTCGCGCAGGGTTATTTCCGCAGACGGAGAACAAGAGAGAGAGAGAGAATTTTGAAGCCAATCACGTGGCGGGGGAGGGGCTTCGCGAAGTCCTCTCAGCCAATGGTAGCTCCGCAACGGTAACGCCACCCACGTGGGCCTGAAATCTTGTACTTATCAACGAACATGCATTGAATCCGCTCTAGCCAATCATCTGGGTCCGAAGTGTTAATCTCAATACGGATTGGCTGGCAGTTCTTACAGGTCTTTATTCATCTCCGTTGTTAACTCATTCCTGCCACACGTTTTTTTTGTTTTGTTTTTTTGCTGTGACTGCCTCATGAAGCATTTCTCATCCAAGTCCCTTTTTGGGAAGCGTTTTCTTGTCAGCAAAATAAATGGCCCGAAGTTTAGGTGCAAATTGTATATAAAACATCCATCCTCTTTTTATAATCTGCATCCATTAGGCCATAAACCATTAGCTTGATTACATTAGGATAAAATTTACATGGGTCCTGTTGATAGGATGTGTCAATTAGCCCACGCACAAAATGAAATGTTCTTAAATAAACTGTCTGATTGAATAGACGGATGTGAGATCTAAAAATACCTCACTACTGAGGGGGAAGCATAGGTCTATTCTAGGTTGCAATAATAAGGCAACATACCAAATTGTTGAGGGCAATATTTAGCACCAAGTCGTGGGAAAATGACCGTTGATTATAAAAGCGTCCTAAATCGTGTAGTAGCCTACACTGATGACTTTTAATGGTGCATTCAGTTAGTTTACATTTACTTTTAGCATCACACCCAAAAATAAAAAACCATTGAGTGCTTCAGGACTTTATACGGACACCTACTGGCCTGGATGCATGACGTTTGTTTGCCAAACGCGGCTTCATACTCTGTTTTTTAATCTGTAGTTTTGTTGTTTCTTGAGCACTGGATTAGTTCTCTATATAGAGTCAACACAATACTATTAGTAGTAGTAGTAGTAGGCCTAATAGTAATCTGGTCAATTGGATGACACAGTATGGTGGCGACCATGAAGAAGCAACACACTCCATGCAGAATAAAACTGCTTTTTTCTAGATGACTGACATGACTGAAGTCTTCACATGTGGGTGTAGCTACATCATTTTAATGGTATTTATTTATATGTAAAAATAAATTTTTTTGGGGGGGGAGTATAATTCCATCATGCTCACAGTCACAGAGGCACCAAGTCTGACAAACCAAGCATTACTCTTATTTTCTTAAGAAGGGACTCTAGTGGGCCCTTCAAGTCAACGTGTAAAGCAATAGTGATACCTAGAGGTCAGCTCGAGGACTGCGTTTGATGAAAGGTGCTCTTTCCCGTTTACCCCTTATGAATTATGCAGCAGACATACAATTTAGCTGCTCCCATGGTGGACAAGGAGGTCACCCACAGACGCATGGCTACTGCAGCTGTACACTAAAGCTCTGGTGGCATCTTCAGCCATCAACCCTGTGCTGATCTGGTCTGGATTTCTCCATCTTTGTTCAGATGACTCATGCTAAAAGAAAAAACAGAATACATTAAATTTACATTTTATTCATTTAGCACACACTTTATCCAAAGCGAATTATAAAAGAGAATAATAAAGCAGAAGAGCTTAATGCAAGAGAGAAAACAAATGCAAGTAGATACAATAAAAAATTGAAATAACTCTACACTAGTGTAGATAAACAAAGAAAATGTACCATTATTCATTTCAGAGATTTTTATTTATTTATCAACAACAACAGTAATACAAGCAGAAGCAATTAATTCAATTGAGAAAAAACAAATACAACTCTCATTCAAGTTCACTGGAGTACTAGTGTAGATAAAAAAAAGGGGAACAAACTACCTCAGACACATTTTCACTGAAACGTGGTATTGTTGCTCTGATGACAGTTACAGAGCCAAAGACACAGAATTCAGAGTTGAGCAGATGAGGGTGGGGGAAAAAATTGAGCATGGGGTGTGGAAAGGGTGAGATGGAGGAGAGAAGAAGGGGAAGAGAAGATCACAGGTTAAGGGGAGTGCGGTAGACGGAATAAAAATGAAAGGGATGATAAAGAGTGAGAGAGAAGAAGAAGGAGAGCAAGAAAGAAGGGTGTTACATATATTGGTGGTATTGGGGATGGCAGGGTTGCTCCCGACAGAGCAGGGGAATAGCAGCATTGCGGTTAATAGGGTAGAAAAAGCTGGGGGGCTGTTAACTCTGAAATGTACATTTTTAAACTCAAGCTTTTTTCTCCTTCCACCCCCTCCCCTCTTTTCTCTCTCTCTTTCTCTATCTCTCTCCCTGACAATCGTGCTCCCTCCCCAGGCTGCGTAGTAATGATAGCTATTTGACTGCCATCAGAGGAGCTGGGTAATGGTCTCTAAAGAACCATTTCAGACCCAACCTGGCAGCACTGGCCTCCCAAAAACATCTGCTTGCCTATCAAGAGGTACCACCGCACCAGACACACTACACACACGTAAGCACACTCATGTACACACTCATGCGTGGACACGCACAATACTGTGTTGCATAGAGTCATGCCTGACTTAGGTAATGGACCACGGGAATACACTTGTGAGCTGAATACCAACAAAAATAAAAGAGGTGGTAATAGTGTTGTTGTGCTTAGAGTTAATGTTTTGAATGGGGACTGGGGGCTGAAATAATACTGTCAGACAAATCTTGTAGTAATTAAATGTAAAAATGACACTAAGGGGCCCAAACAATGACTTCAGGGTGTTAGTAACTAGACAGTTTGTGAAGTATAATTTATCTCTAATGTTATTTACTTCCTGTTCATATTGTTTGGATGGTTCTCTATTGCAGCATAACTTCCCAACATGCAAACTAGACTGCATTTTTTGTCCCTGTTGAATATATTGTGGTTAATTCTTGCAAGACTATAAGCTTCCTAATGGACCCCGGGGACATTGCAGGAAAGAAAACCAGACATTTCCATGTTGAAAAAAAAATCAGATTACTGTACAAAACCTTATAATGCTAAACTTTCCTCATGTCTCTGGTAAATTTCTGCTACTCTGCCTCCCTCTGGTGGCACACTCTAGTACTTTCCTTTCATTCAGAAAATTTTGGATAGATACTCTGGAACGTGCTTTCTGTATTAGGCATATTGTCAACCATTCATTTTTATTTTTCTTCCACCGAAGAAAAGTTCATATATCTAGAAATCTCCTATCTCTTCAGCCATAATTCATACATTCATTCAGACATGTGGAAAAATATATGGTCAGTGATGTAATGGGAGTTTCTGCGTCACTGTATTTGCTGTCAGGAGAATTAACCTGGCTCACAGGTCATGATAGCTTTTCTCTTTGAAAGTGCAAAGCTCCCAAATGTTAGTCAGGCTGTTAAGGGGATTGCTTGCTATTGACAAGCTCTCAGCCCATTGAAGAAAGCCTAAGTGAAGAGAGATTTGATTATGGTGACAAGGTTAAAGATGCTTCCCACCATTACTGAATTTTGATAATATAGAAACACTTGTTTTTGTGTGTGAAAATTCTGCTTTTATTCTGAACCCAATGGGACATTATTTTTGACTCAGTCTTTGTAGTACTCTATTGACGGCACATCAGTTGCAACGAGGTACTGTGTTCTGCTTGACTGGATTTTGCGGTTAAATCCTTAGCTACTCACTGTAACATAATGAATGCAATTTCTTCTACTTTTTGTTTTATCATGTCAAAGCATCTGACAACAATGTAAAAGTGTACATTTAAATGTAAGGGTCATAGTGCATGTCTAAGGTTAAAGTCTCTGCTTAGAGGATCTCGAACAAATGTAAACAAAGAATAGATTTGCCAAAGCCAATAACGGTTAATGGATGTCTTAATGGATTGTTCCTGTGCTTAGAAGAGTGTGTATATGTGTGTGTGTGGTTCAGGCTTACCCGTCCCATACGCGGTCAGCCCCCGACAGATGGAAGGCTCTGTGTCCAAGACGCGCCCAAGGAGAGGAGGAGGGGTTTGGGGCTGCTGTGGATTAGATTGGTCTAATAAAAGAGTTGGATCATTGAAAGGCAGATTAGGGGCCTGTGGAGGAGACTGTTTTTCAAACAAACATGCTTGGGATTTAAAATGGATCGACAATATGTGTAGCATTATGCAAACATGAGGCAACATGGCCAGTAAAATGCTAAGCAAACAACTTATGTGACTGGAAATGAGCTAGAGAGATGTGTGTTCAGTCACAGTAAATTGGTCTTCAATGGCTACATGTCAGGTATCTTTGAATAAGCATCTGTTTGTTACCTCCAAGTTCACTCTCACACCCATGCACACATTGCCGTGATAAAGATGACCCACTGAGCTCGGAATCAGAGAAGTCATGTAACTCTATCCTGAGTGTACACTGGAAAGCCGATCCCCCTCTCAGGCCACTACCATGGGTGCTGGGGGAGGGCTCTGGTTACCCAGCTTTGTGTCAAAGCGCCATCAGCAAAGAGTTAGAGACTGGGGAGGAGGACAAAAGCAGGAGCACTATAGAATGGGTGGATTACTGGGCCTCCATAAAGTGTCTCTAGTGTAAGAATATGTCCAATATAGCGAGACAGGAGAAAGGACGTAGAGAAAGAAAGATAAGAGGATAGGACAACAGGTGAAAGGGAGGTAGAAAAGGTGTTGAAGTACACCTGAAAAGCTGCACTGTACTTCAGGTGGCGTTTGTTGACATATGGCACAAGCTGGCCTGGCAAATATTGGGCACCTTGCACAGTGAAATGCTGCTATTTCTCAAGGTCTCGGAGGAGAACGATTTGTCTGTTTAAGGGACGCACAGGTTCTGAGGATGTGACTCAAGTAAAGTGACTTAGAGGAGGACAAGGAGGTGACAAACTAATGAGATGTAAACCTGAAGGATTGAGACGAGTAAAGCGTCGAGAAGTAAAACAGTGTGACTCGGTCTTGAGCATCTCTTTAAGAGATCAGCAGTCCCACAGTCCCAAAGGCAGCCAATGGAGAGGACAGAAAAATGCAGGTAAATTGAGAAGGAAAGGGAATGAGACAGGGTAAGCGAGTGAAAGAGGCACAGAGGAAAAGGAACCGTTGGGATCAGGGTGACGTCAGCGGCTCTCTGGATTGAGGTGTTGAGTCCTCCTGATTATAATCTGATCTGATTAGGAAACACAGGGAAAAAAAATCTCCAGAGCCTCTGCAAGCTCTCCGGGGAGCAAGGCGCCGTTTTTACCGAGCGGAGAGGCCAAGGACCAAGAACAAAATCAAAAGAGGAACTTAGGAGCAGTCTACTAAACAAAGTTAAGGCCTGTATCTGAAAAGAGTCAGCTACACTAAGTGGTCTTCACTTTACTCTTCTCCAATAGGAAGCAAATTAACAAGTAGTGGAGCTAACATTGTAAGTCTGCAGGCTCTTCAGGTTCTTCTCTGGACTTTCAATACTCTCTGGCTTCCATCTGGGTTGTAAGCCAGGATGCCCTCCAATGGCAGTAAAGCCCTCAAGCTACAATTCGGGCTTATTAATTACGAGAATCGCTATCTAACAGCGGAGGCTTTTGGCTTCAAGATGAACGCTTCAGCTCCGAGTCTAAAGAAGAAGCAGATCTGGACTCTGGAGCAGGATGAGCAGGATGGTCAGGTGGTTTACCTGCGCAGTCACCTGGGGCGCTACCTGGCTTCCGACAAAGATGGCAAGGTAAGCTGTGAAGCTGAAACCAAAGAGAATGACTGCCGCTTTCTGATTGTGGCACAGTCAGACGGGCGCTGGGCCCTGCAGTCCGAGCCATATCTGCGCTTCTTCGGAGGTTCAGAGGACTACTTGTCCTGCTTTGCTCAGACCATTGGCGAGGCAGAACTATGGGCCATGCACCTGGCCCTGCACCCACAGGCCAATCTGCTCAGCGTGGCCCGCAAGCGCTACGCCCATCTAGCATCTCCAGAGGGAGAGATTGCTGTGGACAGTAACATCCCTTGGGGTGTGGATGCTCTTCTAACTCTTGTGTACATGGATGGCAAATATTGTCTTAAGACCAGTGACAGCCGCTTTCTGAGCAATGATGGGAAACTGTCTTCTGAAAATGGCCGTGGGACAGGCTACACTTTGGAACTGAAATCAGGCAAGTTGGCCTTCAAGGACTGTGAGGGGAAGTACTTGACCCCCATGGGGCCCACTGGAACTCTGCGCTCTGGACGCTGCTCCAAACCCGGCAAAGACGAGCTGTTTGATCTTGAGGAAAGCCATCCGCAAGTGGTGTTTCAGGCCGCCAACAACAGATTTGTTTCCATCCGACAAGGTAAGTGCTACTTGAATTTCTTTTGACGTTCCCCTACAGGAGGACCACATGCTTCAGCGACTAGCCTCATTTTTGCTGTAGAAAACGAGCAAACGAGCGTGTCTGATTTCGCTCCCTTGGTGACGTGGCAAAGGGATCTCATTATAATATTACCGCCCCTTAATCTGTAAGTTTCCACCCATGGCACCGTAATTTTGATTTTGCAAGCGACAACGGTGTACCAGCTCTGATGCCATGGTGAAAGTTTGAGCAAAACATGCTAACTGTTCTGTCTTTGGCTGCACAGACGAGCACAGAACACTATTTACAGTCCCAGCCTCAGAGGAGAGAGAGAGCAGTGGATTTATTGATATGATATGGTATATTGCTGCTGCCACACAGATCTAAAATAAACATGCGATTTAAAAGCCGTTTACCTTCACAGACATAACCGACTGTTTTTTGTAACTCGTGTGTTTTGAATGTAGACTTGTGTGTGAATGAGAACTTAGTTTAGTACTCGCATGTTGTGACAGCCGCTTTCTGTCTGTGTGCTTAGGATTTGTGTCAGTGTTAAATTCACATTCAATCTAAACTCAGTCTTATTAAAAATATGTTATGGCATGACACCCATATCTGCTAATTAAGTAAACAGACAGGTTTTTATGCATAGTTAATAGATTACATTATTAGGTTACTTTGACCATCGCCCACTATAGATCAACATAATCTATTAAGGTGAGAATCAAGATATTTCATGATAATTCAGTTAATGTGTTTGGGAATGTTTCGAATAAAAATAAATAAATAAATAAATAAATAAAACATAAGCTGCTGTGTCACATGACGATGCCCCCCCCCCCCCCCCCCCAAACTCATGCCCCCTCAAAAATAATAAGTGCATGACGCCCCTGGTCTCTGTCCCTTAGCACTCCTGTGGCATCTTGTGTAACAGATGTGAGTCCTAATTACATCTATTAAGTACCTCTAATGCCTGTTGGGTAACCAGATATAGAAATCTAGAGTATGGAGTTAAAGCATGTAAATGTTGATTGTAATGGAAAAATTCAGTGAAAAAATTTAATTTTCAGACTGAATAATATGCTAAACAATATGATTTTAGTAGTCTGAGAATAATTTGCACTGTTGTGCTGTCCGTTTCAGTCCTCATTAGTGTTCCTATACGCAAGCACACCAGTGCATGAAAATAACCTTCATGCAAAATTGCAGCTGCATTGCAAACCATGCATACATAGTCAAATCTATGAAAACTAGTCTGAGAGCAGGTGAACACTGAGTCACGCCCATGAGCATGACCTCACAGAAATAATATACAGCAGCTGTCTTTTCAGCTGAATAGGCTGATATTAATCTGCCAGACATGGCCAATTTTTATTCGCTGGCCATGTGCTCTGCTAACAAACACGCTGCATAATTGTAGCTTCCTGTCTTGACTGAGCTACTAAGTTCTATAATGTAAATCTTGCATGCTGTAACATTATCCATTATCTCCAGTGCAGAGCTCTTGGTAAGCATTTTGAGCCACCTGCAATAGATAAATTACTGGAGAAACTGAATGGCTTTGAATATCCACCATAGGAAGCTGGGTCAGTAACAGATCCTGTCCTCTCCAGTACACTCATCCATCTCGCTCTCAGTCTTATTCTCGTTTTCATTCTCACAGATGTGCACGTATTTGCGCAGAATTTTTCACAGTGATACACTTTTAGTTAGTATTTTTATATAACAAAATATGCTCTGATATACTCACATGCACATGTCCACATGCATGCACACACTAGTGGCAAGGTGTGATAAATAATTGAGTGGACAGGGGCATTTCAATGATGGTGGAGTCTGCTTTCAGAAACACAAGCCTTCCGCCGCATTTCTTTATCTGGAGACCATGCAATGCGCTGGGCTACAATGGGGACGCAAATCAGAGAGTCCTTCGGGAGCAGTTGGGTTTTGGCCCGACAGGCAAAAAAACCCAATGGGGGAAAAGAGACAATGGAAAGTGTGATAGTTTACATCTGAAAAGAGAACAAGACAGGCAGGAGGAAGAAGAAAGATCAGGCACAAAATCCCAATGCATAGAGACATAATGCATTATGGGTGTGGACAGGTGGACGGTATGGCTTTTTTGTCATTGTCACTGTTAAAAGATCATAAATCAAAGACGTTAGCAGCAGTTCCCTGAGGAGGACATGATGTTGTATTGTCAGTTTAGTTTACTCATGGGATAAAGTAATTTAATGCCATTCAAAAAGTTAATTTGTGGTAGAAAAGCATGTGCACCAGCACAAAGAATTTGAATTCATTTTACCAGCTAAGTAGGTTGCAGGGCAGCTATTATACAAATCCTCCAATAAATTGTGAGGCCTTCAATGTTAGCAGCTGAAGCCATAGTCAAAAGCTCTGGATTGTAATCAAAATTAAGTTGCGAGATGTTTGAGTCACACATTATGACTCCTACAAGGTTCAAAAGGTTCAGTGTCGATTCAACATTAGGAAATATCAAGTATCACCATATTACCCAAAAAAATCTAGTCATTTCATTATGGGTGAAAAAAGACAGGGAAAATGACACAGGCCAGATGGAACATTTGTTCTTAATGAACGAGAAGCATCTCTCCCCATCTATTGCACATTCATTCTGTGCAAAAAGCAATTAGGTAAAGTAATTTTGCTAATGGATGAAGCAATTCATTTCTTTTAGAGAGTCTCTACATGATGAAGGGAACCAGAGATGCCTTCAGACAGGACTGCCAATCAGCTCTGCAGGTCTGACGTTCATTAAGCCCCAGGCCTCTCACCCTGGGATGCAACACAAACTCACAGATGATCTTTTAATCAATAACGAGTCGTGACATTGCATGGTCATTTTTCAGAAATATCGCTATTATTGGCTTAGATATGACGTTTATTCACTTGCTTTTGTTGTGGTGTACTTTTTTGCAGCAGCTATGGCGCATGTTGTGTGGCACACATACTTGAGTCGGAAAGATGGCATGCACGCAGACGTGTGGATCTGTTACCATGTTCTTCATCACCTCCACAGTGTTCCCTGGAATTTTTTAATCCGGCCCGGAAGGTGAAAAGGAGATGAGGAAGAGATATAGAGAAAGAGCGAAAGAAAAGAAAGAAAAGAAAGAAAGAAAGCTAACAAAATGAGAGACAGTAGATTGTGGCATCACTTTACCATTAAAAATTAATCTCAGACTGTCTTGGCACATTTGGAGATCACAGCTTTAAGTAGACACCTTCACATAGAATGTGATCCAAACTTCTGGGACCACTAGTGGAAATGCTTATATTTAGCATTTTTATAATTTAATACTTTTTTTAATGACAAATTGTAATATCAACATGAGTGAAAGTTGAATTGAAAAATTAAAATGAGTTTCAGAATGTCTTTGTCCCCTTTCTGCTTTGTTGACAGCAGCACTCAAGCAGCATGCACTCCAGATGTTTTTATTATATTTATTTTTCCAGATTTCCAGTGTACCCCCAGACTTTTGAACCCCACTGTATACATGCATGTTAAACAAAAACCTATGCATACTTTAGTCACCTTTTGTATTGTTCTCCCATATACCTCTCGTGTTCTCCGAGAGGTATTTGACCTGGTACGCATGCAGCGATCTACTTGCCCCAGTTTTGAGAAGGCCCTGTCACTGTCTCTGTCTCTGGGTACTGTTACCATACCACAGAAATGGGTTGGTAAATTGAGAGGGAGCATTCTGTGATGGGAGTGAGGTCATTCGCAGGAGTTCAGGATTGAGCTCAGTAATCACAATGCCGTGGATGAGGAATGATCAACAGAGGAGATAGAGTGTCCTGCCCCAGCTGGCCTCTCTTCTTCTATCTTTGGTGCAAAACTAAAGCAGAGTCAGACGTGAAATTGGAAAATAAAGTGTAACGGGCCGCAGAAATGAAAACCGCTGCAGCAGAGTGATGTCTGATCTGAGAAAGAGAAACATCTGAAGCTGTTTCTTTTTCGTTATCCCTGATTTTGTCTTGATTAGAAACGAGACTTTGTTTTTGGTGACTGGCTGGTAGTTGTACTCTGGTTCCAACAATGCACTAACACTGTGTTGTCTTAATCCTGCATACCACATGTTTCTATTACTTAAAGCCATTAGGAATCGGATTATAGAGCCCAATTCCAAATTAAGACCAGGTAGTGTCTATTGATAGGCCAAGATGATTTGTAAAAGTAGTCCATGCAGTGTGAGAGAAAATGATAGGCAGAGGGAGAAACACAAGCACAAAGATAACCTAGATCATAGCAAAAAAAAAAAAAAACATTCCTCGGTGGAGTGATCGATGGCAGCAGATTCTGCTGATAGGCCTGGTTTCTTTCCCAGCATGTCTCAGGCACCCTACAGAGTTCCGTTGAAACAATAGTATTACTTCAGCCTCCCGACTGGTTTTCCTCGGAGCTGGAGGATTGTACATACGCTACTCCAAAAAGCTGCTTACTGGGCCCTACGGTGCAGCTTTGTGTCTCTTTGCATGCTGAGAATTAGGAGAGGTTACAGCATTAGAAGAGGAGGGGCAGGAAGGATGACAGGGTGGAGGGAGAAGGGGGTAAGGTGCAGGATCTGGCCTGTTAAAGGCTTAAGAAAATGATCTAGGGATATTTTCGGATGCATCCACTTTGAGCCTTAGCCACGACAATCTGTTTGACGCATACTGAACAATGCTGTCGGTTTTGTTTGATTATGCAGTTGTCATTTATTTGCCCAAAAGATTGGACATACTTGACTGAAATTATGTTTCTTCTTATCTTCAAAAGCATTTGAAGACCTCATAAAGTTGGTTGCCATCTTTGAAAAAGCTCAAATATACAATAGTTGTATTGATTTATTTGCCAATTTTAAGATAATTTAGATATTTTTTAAATATGCCTTATAATTTTAAAGTACTTGCACTACCAAAAGTTTTAAATAATTAAGGTTTTTAAATGTTTTTGAAAGAAGTCTCTTATGCTCACCAAGGTTACATTTATTTGATCAAAAATAGAGTTAAAGTAATATTTTGACATTAAACCAGAATATTAAATTGTACCACATTAAAACAATAATATAGTATATTGGTTATAAACAGTTTTTGCTGCTTAATAATTTTGTGGAAATCATGACACATTTTTCAGGATTATTTGATAAACAGAAAATTCTAAATAACAGTATTTACTTAAAAAATAATCTTTTGTAACATTATAAATGTTTTACTGCCATTTTTGATCAATGGAATGCGTCCTTGGTGAACAAAAGTATTAATTTCTTTTTTTTTTAACTCTTACTTGCCTCAAACTTTTGAATGGTAGTGTATCACAAAACAAATATTGAGCAAAAGTTGTTTAAACATTGATAATAATAAGTATAAGATGTTTCTTGAGCACCAAATCAGCATATTACAATAATTTTTGAAGGATCATGTGACACTGAAGACTGGAGTAATGATGCTGAAAATTCAGCTTTACATCACAGGAATAAATTACATTTTAAAGTATATTCAAATAGAAAATTGAAATAATATTTCGGAATAGTACTGTTTTTACATTTTTTTAAGAGACTTCTTTCAAAAACATTATAAAATCTTAATTATTCCAAACATTTGAATAGTAGTGTAAATACATGTTTAGTTTTAAATAATAATTTTAATAAATAGCAAATAATATTTGAAAACTCAACCTAAAATCTATTTAAAAAGTCAGCAAGTCTCTTGGTTCGTTTGTGTCCTGTTTTTAAGATGTTTCTTGAACACAGCTATGTCTTAAATTCTAGACTAATGAATGCCATGACAAAGTCCCAGAACTAATTGGCATAGAAACCCAGCGGGATGCAGCGAGGAATCTGACCCTGCCAAGGTCGCATTTTCTATGCCAAGGTTTTATCGGTGCAATGGGAAAGATACAATCACAAGTGGTTTTTCCCTACTGCACTGAATGGTAATGTAGATGCATAGAGAAATGTTACATGATTGTACTTTAGATACATAGACAAAAATACACAAGGTTTTTTTTTATAGAAACACACAAAGTCTACATCTGTTAAACAACACAATAGTTTAATCAAGATGAATGGCTAGGATATAAATAATGTTTCAGACCACAGCCAGTGGTCTTGTTGTGTAAATGTTAATGTTACAAATAATACAGTGATTCGGAATGAAACTGTCATCGTGACTGAATGAGTAAACCTCCTCATTTCAAAACATCAGTGATCTTGCATTGAAATAAAGGATGTTTATAGACAGCAGAGTGACATGTTTGGGCTCCATTAACTATAGATGTGAGTCTTAATAAACAAGGTCCGCTGTAGACGTTGCGCCAGAATAGGGCTCAGAGTCAGGTTGATTCCTGTTGTGCGTGGCAGTGAAGTTAATCATGCTGGTGCTTTGTCTCCCTTCAGGATTCCAAACTAGGGGAAAGTTCAGGACAAACACACGCTATCTTGTTTAAGCAGATGCATTTGAAACGTCCTCAGAAAAGCATGTTACATATTGTTCTAACAGTCAGCGTCAATCGGTGTGATTTGTATTGGGGCATAGTAATAAGAGTGACTTTTGTGTGTTTGAATATTTAAGAAAGATTCAGCAATTTTAGGTGGGTTTAAACTTTATTATTTTGCAAGGTAAAAAATATAATTTTTTTTTTTGCTGTGTGTTCACAAAATGTCACTGTTAAGGCTGGGTTTCATAATCATATGCTGTTGTTTTGAACATTCTATTCATCAAAGAGTCTTAAAAGTTTTTTTTAATTATATATATATATGTTTTTTTTAGCATATTAGATTGACTTTTGAATGTGATACTGAAGACAGGAGTAATGATTGATAAAATGATTGATAAAAATTCAGCTTTGCCATCACAGGAATAAAGTACATTTTAAAATATATTCAATAGAAATTTTTTTTTTTAAATTGTGATGTTTCATAATATTACTGTTTTTACTATAATTGTAGCATCAGTGAGCATAACTTCTTTCAAAATCATTAAAAATCTTGACACCAAACTTTTGAACAGTAGTGTATGTTCACATAAAATATATAAATCGAATCGTTATACAGCCTTCATGAACTTATAGTTAAATTGATTCTGACTTGATTAAGTTATTTTTATAATTAATTGAGAAATGTTTTAACTTATAAAATATCAAATAAGACGGTTAATAATATGTTTGAGGTACAATTTCAAAGCTTTATTCTGAACATTATTTAAATAAATAAGCAAAAATGCCCTGCTCTCCCATGTATGCTTGTTTTAAATTAAAAGCAATGAATAACAGTTTTGTCTTATGTCCTGTTTCTTTCTGTGTTTCAACAGGAGTGAGTGTCTCAGCCAATCAGGATGATGAGACAGACATGGAGACATTTCAAATGGAAATTGATAAAGACACAAGAAAATGCAAATTCAGAACTAATGAAGGGAATTACTGGACGCTTGTCGCTCATGGAGGCATCCAGTCAACAGCCACAGAAGCGTAAGATTTAGCCTTACTTTCAAAATTTTCAAAACAAATGATTCTTTTCCACTTATTTAAGATATGACATGAGGGCAAGCAACATTACTATTATGTAACTATGATAAAATGCATCCACGACATCCATAACACAGCAGTAATATAACAGAAATTGTAAAGCTATATCATTTGCTCCTGTTCTCTGTGGGTGTACATGTTTTATTAACACTTATATATACGATCTCCCACTGTGTGCAGCGGTGCCAACACCATGTTTGACATAGTGTGGCTCGGTCGACGGGTGGCACTGCAAGCCAGCAATGGAAAATACATATGCACTAAGAAAAATGGCCAACTTGCTGCAGTCAGTGACTCTGTGGGTGAGTTCATACTGATACTACCCACAAACAAAATCAAAATACATGGATCTAAATCAAATCTATTTGAGAAACGTACAAGAATACAATAAGTCACCCTGTTTTTTTCGTCCAGGTGAGGACGAGCAGTTGATTCTGAAGCTGATCAATAGGCCCATTCTGATCCTGAGGGGAGAGAATGGTTATGTTTGCCACCACAAGAACTCTAATACACTGGACGCCAATCGTTCAGTCTATGACATATTTACACTGCAGTTCAATGACGGCACATACCACATTAAAGGTGAGTTTTAATCTGACCACATTGTCAATCATTTTTATTCTGTATGTCCTGTAATAAATCCTAAAGCAGGTTTCTGGAAAGCAAATAACAGCTTTTATTTCCTGGAATTGATTTATGTTGTAATCAGTTGTCAAAAGTCAAAACAATTAATCTGCTGAAATTGATTCTCAAGAAGGCTGATTTACTTGTAAGAGGGCATGCAGTAGGCCTGTTTTCTTATAACCATAAAACTAGAATACATTATGGACATTATGAGCTATACCAAATGTTAGATCATAGAAAAAGAGTTTTACGGTTTTACGCCCTTCAATGAACTTCTAGAATCTGACTCGATTAAGTCATTATTCAATGTAATTTTATGACGATAAAACTAGGATACAACATTATGAAATACACCAAATGTTAGATAATGGAAAAATAGGAATGTAGAGCTTGTTCAGGCAATGTTACAGCTATACAACGATTGTGAAGTTTAGCTAAATTGAATATGGCTCGATTAAGTTATTATTAAACATAATCTGTGTCAGAAATGTCCAAATGTATTTAATTAATTTATCAGATGGAAATGGTTTTCATGGGAACTGATTTATCTACATACAGCATTTTCTTATAAAAATAAAAGAATAATACAATATTGTATACCAAATGTTAGGTGACAAAAAGTGAATTTCAACATTTTAAATATGCAAAAAAAATAAAGTAAATATAATTTTTAGCACTTTGTCATTTTTTCTCGTGCTAATGAAATTAACCAGAGTTCAAGACATTTATGTTATGAAGCTGACCGGTATTAATTTCCTATAGGTGCTGGTGGAAAATTCTGGTATGTGTCCAACAGTGGCTTGGTGTGCACTGATGGAGACACACCTGAAGATTTCTGCTTTGAGTTCTTAGAGCATGGACGGATAGCTATAAGGGGCAAAAATGGCAAATATCTGCGTGGAGACCAAGGAGGCAATCTGAAAGGCAATGGAGAGAATGCAGACAGCTCCTCCCTCTGGGAATACTGACACCATGTGGACATTTAAGGAACTGTCACTCACCTGTGTTAAACTCTTGGATTTACTGACGTGAGAAAATAAATTGGTACAATTAAGGTTTAATATTTGGACATCTGTTTTCCCATATTTTTGCATTTAATGTAGAGTCAGTATTTAGCATTATGCATGTATTATTTACAATTTCTGGTTTATAGTCCTATACAAAATGAGCCTGTATAAACAGAATACAAACATAACAAGAACCTATATCATATCAGCTCACTATTGCACACTGTTAGGAAAAATGTGTGAGGTAATGATCTTACATAAAACTCGCAAAGCATGCCATTACTGTGGCAAATCACTTTTATCATCTCTGCTCATTTTCAAATTGACACATTATATTTCATTACTGCTGTTTTTGTTTATTACTTTTTTTTATTTTAATGACCCATTATTGTCTTGTCTTTCATGCTATTATTTATTATCATGTTAATGTTTGTCAGTTCCAGTGAAGCTTGTTTCATTCTCTGGGGTTACAGACTGCTGTGTTTGTAATATATGGACATACATGGCGTTTAAATATATGTAGGCCTGGTAAATGAACTCTTCTTGTTGTTTCTTTAAGCTAACTAGCAACTGACAGGGAAGCCAAGCAACCAAGAATAGAACAGGATACACAGTAATTACTCTGTCTCACCGAAATTAAAGGTACCAGGATTAAATTCATTTGATTCCCTATTGTGATTTATTTGCTTTCTCTTTCTTAAAACCATCTGGAAAGGTTTTACAGTTATTACAATAAAAGCCTGTCTCTTAATTCTGGAAGAATGAATCTCATTTACTGTAACCTGGTTTTAGGTGAAACAAATGGATTGGTTCTGTTCTGAATTTAATTGGCTGCCGAGGCATCAGAACTGAGCCAAGCAGCATTTGCTGTTGCTGTGTGCACAGTTCACATTACTACCGACAGAGAGAACCAGCACTGTTTGTAAAGACTTGCATGTCTTGCTATACAAATAAACTGCTGGTAGCTAGTCAATAAAATAACAATTTGAAACCCAATAATTCTCTATAGCCTACTTGTATACTATTGTTAACCAGTTTCAGAACAGCAGCCTTACAGAGAACATGGTAACCAGTTTCCATTTAAGTAATGTAACTGGCATGTCCTCCATATAGCTTGTTTAGGATTCCCAAAGCTTGCAACAGAGCACTGTTCTCTATGCGATCATATACAACGAAGAAAACGGTTTTGGTAAAGATACAACATAATCCTACTGAAATTCTTTTCAGTATTGTGAACAGTTGCTAAAAAACATGAAAAGGTCTCATGTGCCTTATAAACGTTTAACACTTATGAGCAAGACACAAACACTATATTGGCCAATTCACTAAAGAGCTCTAATAAACCACAGTACAATCTCTGTGCAAGAAAAGAGAGAGTAAATTATGTGTTCCATAAAATGAAAGTTACTTTATTATTAATATTATTCATAACATTATAATGTTACATATAATAGTTCTAATATATACATATGCAGTAATGTAGGATGTTCTCGTTCTGCGCATGCGTGGAAGCGACACGCTGTAGCCAATCAAAACTCGCGCTCTAAATTTTAAAATACCGGAAAACAGACAACAACAAGCAGCAAGCCAAGCGTGTGTCTCGGTCCTCTGTCTTATTATTTTACTCTCCATATTCCAGAAAATGGCTCTTAGTAGTGAAGACCAGACTAAAATGTACTTGTATGAGAACAGACTTCAAACATTCGTTGGTTGGCCGTTTGAAGAGGGCTGCATTTGCACTCCAGAAAACGTGAGTAAACCCTTTGATCCGTCAAGATGGAAAAAAAATAGTTTTGTAGGTGCTGAAATGCAGTGTTTTCATCTTTTACACTGTTTTTTTTTTTTCTATAGATGGCCAAAGCTGGATATATTCACACCCCGTGGGAGAATAGTCCAGATACAGCGCAGTGTTTCTTCTGTCTGAAAGAGCTGGAAGGATGGGAACCTGAGGATGACCCTGAGTGAGTCCGTGTCTGTTAAACTTTCCACTATTGCATTTGAGAGCTGAGAGAGGCCTTGTCTGTGTAACTTAATGGAATAAGACTCTGATTTAAAGTCAGGGTTATTTGATTTATTAAATGTCATCAGTTCTCTTGTTATGTATTTTGTTCCTGATGCACTGTGGTTTTCTTGCATTATCAGGAAAGAGCATAAGACACATTCCCTGACCCTACCTGTGATTTTATCTTGCTGAAGAAGACTGTGGATAGTCTGACTGTGGAGGAGTTTCTGAAACTTCAGAAAGAGAGACAGAAGTTTATCATCGTAAGTATGAGCTCACTGACAGATAATGTAGTCACATTTATTTATATAGAACTTCAATACATTCAGTTTCAAAGCAGCTTATAAACGGGAGCATAAAAGTTCATCTTCTAAAATTCACCAATTATGAAACAAATTCAATTTTTAGTGTCATTATTCAACGCAAATTAGTTTAATGTTGTTTCAGTTCAATATGTGTCAGTGTAGTGTTTTATGGCAAACTATAACCATAGAACAATTTTTGTTACTTGAAATTTAAATAGATTTTAACAGAAATAAAAGTTGTCAAGGCAACATTTTTCATTTTAATTTAGTTTATCTTGATGTACTAAAATAACGTTTAATTATGTCTTAGACTATACACTAAATAAGAAAATGACAATCACACAATAAAATTACTAAAACAGAAAATGTAAAATAAAAACTAATTCAAAATATCTATAAAAACTATAATGGTATCTAAATTATACTAAAATAACCCTGTGTCAATTTTGCAAAATTCATCAATTGAAACAAGTTAAATTCAGCTATAAGCACCTTTACAGAAGGCAACGGTGTCATTTGTAAGGCAATAATTGTCATTCATCTCAATGTTGATTCAATTCAGTATTTCAAAGTTAGTGTAATAATCCAGCTTAATTCAGTTCAAATTTTGTTATCATCAGGTAATATCAGTGCAGTTAAATCAATGAATATTAATTTATCTTAAAACCAAAACTCAGCATGCCAAAAGTTACATGGGCAAGGAATCATGTCTATCAGGTGACAGTATTGGACAAGATTTTTCAGTTGCCCCCCCAAATTGTTAGTCATGGAATCCCTGATGTCTGCTCCGCTGCAAATGGAGCGCTTAGCCAAGAGCTAAATACCCTCAACGTGGTTTTGCAGCGTTGAGCAATGTAACCAATCACAGACAGATCTGTTGATTTCTTAAACGCAATGGCCAATCAGAAACGTATTGTCACAATTCACTCACTGCTGAAAGCGCCACAGTTTTGCACTCTCATGAATCATCTCCTGACTAAGTGCAGACGCGATTTAAATAAGAGATTCATTGTGCAGTTTAGAGAGCTTCATTGATTATAACGGAACTTTGTAAGATCGCGATGAACAAAGATGAGTGACGTTTTTTAGTGATAAAGGGAGCGAGCTTTGCGCACTTTCTAGGGTATCCATTCAGAATTTGTATGAAAGTTTCGTTTTTCGGACACATAGGCTACACCCTGCAAAGTTTCGGGAATGACATCCGCATATTTATGCGGGATTCACTCTCGAAATAGCAGTGATTGGCAATGGACGGAACATAGAATATGTTGATTTAATTCTGGAACCGGTGTAG